CCCTCACTTAACCTTGGCAGTCACAAGCCAGCTTTTCATTTTCTCCGCTGCAGTCCAGGAAGGCAGGAATAATCACATGGCCACACAGCTAGAGACTGCCAGCCCAACTTGGAGTATCACCTTTCCAAACACCTTTGCAATTAGGAAGAGACAGGCAGCTTCTAACTGGGTCATGCTCGCTCATCATCGTAGCCAGATCTGTGCATCAGAGGCAACTGTGGGGAAGAGCTCCCAGGGCCACCTCTGTTTCACTTGTTTGTTGTTGTTGTTTGTTTTTTTTTAAGATTTTATTTATTCATGAGAGACACAGAGAGAGAAAGAGAAGAGAGAGGGGGGCAGAGATACAGACAGAAGGAGAAACAGGCTCCATTCAGGGAGTCTGATGTGGGAGTCGATCCCGGGTCTCCAGGATCAGGCCCAGAGCTGAAGGCAGCATTAAACCACTGAGCCACTAAGGCTGCCCTGTTTCACGTGTTTTTCATTGGGTTGCAGGTAAATAAACTTTTTAAATTATCCCCGAAATTGCTAGAAGTTTCAAGGGAATGCTAATGTCTTCCAGCATATAGGGCAATCAGATCTGTGATTCAAACCATAATGCTGACTCCTCCTCACAGCCTCCAGCTATTCAGTTACTGATCTCTGCCCACTAGCACTGAGGAGTCCCCAACCAGCTTTTTCTTTTACCTGAGCTTTCTCTGTTGTCTAGGGGGACACTTTCATAGAGGAACCAGTATTGTCCATATACAGGTGCAAGTAGACCCAGGGTGCATACAGAAAAGATTATGGGCTGGAAGTCGGGAGACCTAGATTCTAGACCTAGGTCCGCTGCCCGCTGGGCAAATTATTCTCTGGATTTTGCACTTTCTCTGAGGTTCTCTTCTAGTCGTAAGAGTCTCTGATTCCAAGTGGATATCTGGTCTCTTATCCCTGCAGAACTCTCCCTTCTTCTGTTCAACAACTGTGGTAAATAACTCTGTGTAATGTAGCTTCTGACATTGTAGTCACACAGACTCAGCATATGTTCTTCCTACTACTGAACTCTCCAGCTATGGACCTTGCCAGAGAGGAGACTGGGAACCTGGCACAACTCAGATTCGATTCTGTCTGGACTTTTCAAAAGGGTACCACATTTTCAAGAGCCAGCTGAGCCCGCTTCTACACATTCTTCCCTATCCTAATCTAGTAGAAATCACCCCATCTCACATCCATCTGTTGTTCGGGCAGCAGGACCACATTTGCACCGAAGAAGTATATAGGCCTTGGAAACCTAGACCTTCTCCAGGGTGACCTCACGCTCCAGGCAGACATCTTTCAGATTACAAACTAGAATCCCAGCCATCAATCAGTTAGCATCATCAGTGAGAAAGACCCAGATTCCAGAATCCTGGTCTACCTGGGGAGGTCAAAAGCTGGGTGGGGCAGTGGGGGAGGAGGGCAGTGTTCTGCTTGCTATGATTTATTTTTTTTTAAGATTTTATTTATTTATTCATGAGAGACACAGGCAGAAGGAGAAAGAAGCAGGCTCCATGCAGGAAGCCTGATATGGGACTCGATCCCGGGTCTCCAGGACCACGCCCTGGGCTGAAGGCAGGTGCTTAACCGATGAGCCACCCGGGCATCCCTGCTTGCTATGATTTAATTATGACTTTCTGATTCAGGGATGTGGAAGCAAATATAAATGAGCCAACTCTCAGGACCAGCCGTCAAGCATGTGGCTTGTAATCTGCTATCATCCTGCTTGTTCCCAAGAGTTCACATTTTGACAGCTCACCAGCTAGTTAAATAATTTGTTTCCTCCACTGCTCTGATTCATATCCTGGGGACCTGAGGATCTTGGACAGGGAAAGGGCACCCCTAGCTGATGACATCCCAGTAGTTTGAGTTACAGTGACTTAGCAGCCCTGGTAACCCTCTCCAAGTGAAACGGAATGTAATCTGTAATTGTTCTGTCAAGAGATGGCATTGATAATGAGGCATTCCTGCTGGTGGCCTCCAGAGGTCCCTGTTCTGTAACCACTAAGTACCACTTTAGTGAGCTTGTCACTAAAAATTGTCAAGAGCGGTCACTGATATCCTTGGATCCTATTTAGTTAATGGTTTATCTAGAGGAAAGGACCCTACCAGTCTTCGTGGTGCAAAGGATGGGCACTTGGAACATCAAGAGGAATCAGCAGCGGGTACTCTGCCCTGAGAGAATGGAAGGAAATGGGAAAGAGAAAAAGAGGCTAATTTTCAGTTTTGATGGAAGTGTGGGATTGATGTGAAATGCAGACAAAGGAATGGTTAATAACAAAGCAACTGTTTATTGAATACAAAGCCGGTTTTAATCCACTTCTCAGAACATATTCTGTGACTGCAAAGGATAGTTCTATCACAGTCTGAGAGCATCCAGTTCCTAATGATCCAGTTCTGTTTGCACTGAGCAATCTTCTGAGATGAATTGAATTTCCTTAGTTAGATTTTCCAACTGAGAAGTATAATAACCAGCTGTTACCATTTTAGTTCTCTTAACAGTTACCATTCTTGTTGTAAATTGGCATGCTGATTTCTGTTCCTTCCTTGGGCAGTTTAGTTAGCAGGAATCAGTTCTTCCTGGGCCAGCAGAGAAAATCAAGTATCTAGACCTACAAGGCAAAGTTTTTAAACCCCAGAACTTCTGCAGTTGTGCAGATTCTCCAGCTCCCGTCAGCAGTTAACCACATCTCATGAACATCTGCTGAAATACCTTCTGCTGAAGTCTTGAAGTTCCAAGGGATCTTGATTCCTCCTTCACCCTAACTAACATCCTGGGTGTGGGTGAGAAAACTGGCTCTTCTTGCCCTCCTGGGCAGCCGTCCCCCTCAAGCCAGAGGCTGTGAACACCAAGGCAGAGCCTAACTTGTGGCCAATACGACTTTCCTGTACCCTTCGTCATAGAGATCCTCAGCTGTCTCTGTATACCTCCACCCTCAGATTCTCGAAAACACCAACAAACTGTTCTTTGGACTACTAAGCCCCTCAACAGTTATTTTGTGGCATCCCCTCATATGAATATGAAAAAATTAAATTTAAAGCGATTTCAGGAGACTTCATCAGGGTCACACAGCAGATGGGTGGTGGAGCTGGAGCAGAGCTCAGAGTCTGGTGACTCCAAGCAGTTTCTCTCCTGCATCCCCTCCTTGCATCTCTGCCTTGCTCTGGTACTTGTATCTGCCGACCTTGGGGGCACTGTGGTGAATACATAGAGGTGACTGAGGCCAAGTGAAAGGTTGAATGCTGGATAAAATGACAGGAAAGAACTGAAATTAATAGGAACCAAATCCACAGAGAAGGCACACTGACTTTAATTCAAGTTCACACTGCTTCTGGATGAATCTAATCTTTAAATCTAATATTTAGAACACTTCATTGCTAGTTGATTGATAAGTAAAAATCAATCCTTTTCTTTCCCGTGAGGTTTACCTCACTTAAGATAAGTGTCCATAAGCAATAACATAAATTATACATGCCCCTAGATCAGGTTTGAGGACAGACAGTGAGAATAGGTAGTGGAAATGGCCTAACCTTTCCTGGCTTGTCTTTCATGAGAACCCAATTTTTACATGATTGCCAGTGTCTAACAGTAAATGTCAGATAAAGAGAAAATGGTAAGAGAGAAGAGATTTTCCGTGGAGGTCTGGAAGAAGAAAAACAAAACAAAACAAAAAAGGCCACAGACACTGAATTAGTGAGATGGGGGCCCACTGTTACCCCAGAGGGCACAGTTGAAAAGACAGAGTGGCTGATGGAAGGCCAGGAGGAGGGGCAAGGAGCTCATGGATGCAAGTCCTTAGCTGGCAGTCAGCAAAGGAAAGGTGATGCCTGTTAGTGTCCTGACACAAACCTCCTCATTCCCCACCTCTCATTCTTTTGCTGCCTGCTTATTTCCTTGACTTTTTCATCATCATATTCTTTCCTGCCAGAGAGAGATGCCAAGATGGAGACTATTGCAATATCGGGCGTTCTTAGTTTTTTTCTCAAGGCACACTCCTGGTAATAATAAGAGAACCACCAATGCATGCTCTAGACCATTAGAATGGTCCATTATGTGGATTTTTCACCTTTTATATTTTTACTATGGTATGGGGTGCCAGGGTGGCTCAGTGGGTTAATCATCCAACTCGTTTTCAGCTCAAGTCATGATCTCAGAGTCATGGGATCGAGTCCTGCATCAGGTTCCATGCATGGTGGGGAGTCACCTGGAAATTCTCTCTCCCTTTCCATCTCCCTCTGCCCCTCCCCATGCTCTCATGCTTGTGCTCTGTCTCTGTCTCTCTCTCTCTCTCAAATAAGTGGATAAAATTTATTTTTTTTTAATTTTTACTGTGGTGACATATATTAACATAAAGATGACAGTTAAACCATTTTTAACTGTACAAATCATCAGCATTAATTACATTCACACTGTTATGCAACTGTCACTTCCAAAATATTTCCATCACCCCAAAGAGAAAATCTGTATCTGCTGACCACTAATTTCCCATTCCCCATCATCCTAGCCCCTGGTAACCACTAATCTACTTTCTGTCTCTATGAACTTAGTATCCACTCTTAACTGTGTATACCTCCTAAAATATAGCAGCAGTAGAAAAGAATGGAACCTAGGGGCACCTGGGTAGCTCAGTCAATTGGGCATCTACCTTCGGCTCAGGTCATGATCTTGGGATCCTGGGATCAAGCCCTGAATCGGGCTCCCTGCTCAGCGGATAGTCTGCTTCTCCCTCTTCCTCTGCCCCTCCCCGCTGCTTGTGTGCATGCTCTCTCAAGTGAATAAATGAAATCTTTTTAAAAAAGAAAAGAATGGAACCTGAGATGAAAAGGAAAGGATGTTTTGGGTTAAAACCAAATTCTCACTTTCTTAAATATGACTTAAATATAGTTGAATACTTTTTATTATGACTGAGTAGTTTTATCCCACCCATTCAGAGACAGCAAACTGAAAGTCCCTCTGCCGTACTAATTAAGCATCTCTCTTCTTTCAGTGACCATGCAGCAGGTGGCCAGGACAGTAGCTAAAGTGGAACTCTCCGACCATGTGTGTGATGTGGTGTTTGCGCTCTTTGACTGCGATGGTGAGTGGGGCCCTCTGGAGTTAGATTGTCCTTGAAGTAGACATTGTTTATAATGGAGCCTTGCAGACAGCTCCAGTGCACTAGCCTGTACCTCTTCAACTTACCGCTTTCCCACACCAGTAGCTCAGCCCTCCGCATCATCACATTGAGAACTATAACCATAGGTCCTGATTTGTGTTTTCCATTTCTTCTTGTAACTCCAGTTTGCCTATAGGCCTAAATTAATGTATGACCATAAAGATCTTAACAAAGGAAACAATCAATTCTAGTAGTGTTTGTAAAAGTAAACCTCAAATATAAAAACTAAAAAAAAAAAAAAAAAAAAAGGAAACAAAAATATTAGACTCAACTTGCCCCTTAATAGACCAGGAGCACACAATTATCTGAGTGCATCTAGAAAGGTGGTCCTGACCTCTCTACCTCCCAAAGCACATTGCAGTCATTCACATTCCATTTTTGCCCTCTAGCTTGCAGTGGTCTGTGGTGTCTGTGACCACCCTGTAGTTGAGCCCATTTAAGAGGTCCTGGTTTCACTGTGGTGTCATTTCTCAGCTATGTGTCCTGGCATAATACTACTACTGATGTTCACAGTAGAACCTTACCCTTTTCCTCGGTGCTTACTAAGAGCAAGCATTGTGCTAAGCTGCTCAGGTAATTCTCTGACTGTAAGAACTGTTCTTCACCACATTTTCCAGATAAGGATGCTGAGACGTAGGCTGAGTTGTTTCCCCAGGAGCACACAGGTAGTAGTAGATAGCATAGCGAGGATGTGAATCAAAGCTGGAGGCTTCCCTCTATTCTGTTACCTCTACTGCTTGTGTCACAGCCAGGATTCATTGTTCATCTTCCCTCTAGGAAGTAAGACCAGTGGAATCCAGGAAGCAGGTCAGAAGTTCCTGCCTTGGTGAAACCTTCCTTCTGGCCCCAGCATAGTGAATCCCTTGGGCTTTTTTATTCCTTAACGTGTTTCAATTTGTCTTCATTACAACATGTTACTCTCTACCTCTGTGTATATGACCTAACTTCCCTACTAAGTTGTGAGGTTTGTTTTTTTTTTTTTTAAGGTTTTCACTTTGATTCCGGTGAGTTAACATACAATGTTCTATTCGTTTCAGGTGTACAACATAGTGATTCCACAATTCCATACATCATCCACTGCCCATCACCACAAGTGCCCTCCTTCATCCCTATCACCCATGTCACCCATCCCCCCCACCACCTCCCCTCTGGTCACCATCAGTTCGTTCTCCTTAGTTAAGAGCTGTTTCTTGGTTTGTCTCTTTCTCTCTCTTTTTTCCCCTGTTGCTCATTTTGTATCTTAAATTCCACAAGAGTAAAATCATATGGTTTTTGTCCTTCTCTGACTGATTTTGCTTATTAGCCTTATACTCTCTAGCTCCATCCATGTCATTGCAAATGGCAAGATTTCATTGCTTTTTATGGCTCAGTAGTATTCCAGGGTGTGTGTGTGTGTGTGTGTGTGTACATGTACATACATACACACCACATCTCCTTTATCCACTCAGCGTGGATGGACACTGGGGCTGCTTCCATATCTTGGCTATTGTAAATAACCCTGCAGTAAATAAATTATGAGCCTTTTAAGGGTAGTTGCAAGTCCTTTGTTCACTTTTGTTGGACTCCTCCATAGGTACCTCGGATAGTACTTTGCACCTAATAGGTGTTTCTTAAGTTATTGAAATTACCTAGTTGAACTTGAGTTATTTAAACCTCCCACCTGCACCCACAACCAAGCTCTGAGTTAAACCTTGTTTTGTTCCAGGGTTAGAACAAGAAGATGGCCTCACCCTCAGGTAGGGGTGGGTTATTCTCTAGTGCTGCCCTGTCCAAAATGATACTACTACTTACATGTGGCTATTTAAATTTAGATCAATTAAAATTAACAACTGAAAACAGTTCCTTGGTCTGTCTAGCTACATTTCAAGTACTCAATAGCTGCATGTGACCAGTGGCTACCGTATTAAGTAGCACAGATTCAAAAAAAAAAAAAAAAATTCCCTCATGAAAGAAAGATGGTTCTAATGAAGAACACTGCTCTACAGTTTAGCTTCCCTCAGATTTTGTTTTTGCAAAATCACTTCTAGTTGGTTTGAGGTTTTTTCCAAAAAACACTTAATTTTATAATTTTTGAAGCCAGAGAGCCGGTCCATAAAGTAAATATGAGAATAAAGACAAGCGGCCTCACAGTTCCCCTCTTCTCCTAGGAAGACCTGAGAAATGAAATTGGATTTTCCAGCCTTTTAGAAGGAGGTTCTGTCAATATCTACTTGAGTCACCTTTAAAAAAATCATTTAACACCTCTGGGTTGGTTTGTTTTTTATCTACAGAAAAAGGAAATGCATATTAAATTTAAAAGCCATTGTTATTCTACAAGCTCTAGATCTTAGGTCAAAATGCCAGAGGACATTGACTTTTCAGACTTGTTTATCCCAGAATTTAGAGTTGCACTCACAGATGACACATGCACACAGATGACATTCAGTCATATACTTGCTTCATAAGTAGCAGAAGCCATTCACATTGATTAGCTCTGGCCTTAGGGAAGCAGGAAGCAAATCCCATGATAGTCTAAATGACCTCAGATTTTTTCATCTTCAGCCTCTCTTATAAAGATATTAAGAATCTCATTTAGACCTTTTTTGTTCTTTTAATTATATTCCATTTTTTAAGATTTTATTTTTTATTTGAGAGAGAGTGACACACAGCACAAGTAGGGGGAGGGGCAGAGGGAGAAAATCAGACTCCCCACTGAGCAAGGAGCCCCAACAGGGCTCAATCTCAAGACCCTGAGATCATGACCTGAGCTGAAGGCAAATGCTTAACCGACTGAGCCACCCAGGTGCCCTTTTAATTGTATTCTTAATAAGCCATATTATTGGTCACTTTTCAGCCAGCCAGGCTACATTTTAACTCTTTATATTGAAGTATAATATACATACAGAAAAGTGCAAATATCATAAGTAAACACCTTGCTAAATTTTTAAAAACTGAACGCACTGGGGCACCTGGGTAGCTCAGTCAGTTGAGCCTCTGCCTTCAGCTCAGGACATGATCCCAGGGTCCTAGGATCAAGCCCAGCATCCGGTTCCCTGCTCAGCAGGGAGCCTGCTTCTCCCTCTCCCTCTGCTTTTCCCTGCCCCCCAGTTTGTGCTCACTCACTTTCTCTCTCATGCTCTCTCTCTTTCAAATAAATAAAATCTTAAAAAATAATAACTGAACACACCTGTATAACCAGCATTATCCAGAAACATCACATTAGCAGGACCACAGAGCCCCCTGGTACTGCCTTCCAGTCACTTCCTCTCCCAAAGACAATCCTTCTCCTGACTTTGAAAACCATAGATTAGGTCTCCTAATCTCCTAATCTCCTCCTTGCTATGAGGTACCTTTGAGGCTCTCCATGCTCCCTCCAGCCAGAAAACATGGGCCAGTTTAGGTTTTCTGGTACTCTCTACAAAAGTAAACCCTATGTTCCTTCTTTCCACTCTCTTCCCAGGCCAGTCGTTAGTAAGAGTCTGTTTGCTGGCTTCCTGTTGTCTTATCCCCACCAGAAATGGCTGCCGTTCTTTTAGTCAGCAGCAGACCTTTACTCCTAGGCGTGTAGTTAAAGGGTAACTGTTCTCTACTGTTGACATGGTTCCTGTTCTTTGTGGCTGGAGAGGTTGACCTTTGGTTAAACCAGACACACTCCAAGTTGCTCTCCAGACCTAAGAGACTGTAACTGAAGAGGGCGAAATGGGAGGCCATGAGAAAATGGGCTTAACCCAAAGCCAGATTTTTGATTTTGGTTTTTACTGTGAAAACCCTACCTCATCTCTCACCTGGACTATGGCAGTAGTCTTCCCGATTGATTCCTGTATTCCAGTTATGCAGTTCTCTTGTCCTATCCCCATATCCAGCCAGAGAAATCCATCCAAAATGGAAATCTAACTCCATCTCACTTACTTACTTGCAGTCCTTTCCTTCCTTCCGCTCCACTCCTGGAAGATAAAGCGCAAACACTTTTACGAAAATACAAGACCCTTGGGGACCTGTCTCCTGCCCGCCCCTTCTGTTTACTTCCCCACCCCTGTGTACAGCAGTTCCTAGGTACCCAACAGCCTGCTCCCTGCCTATGCTTTTGCTCATGCGACTAGAATGAACCGCTACCTAGAATGCCTCCTCTGTCTCACTCCCTCCTACTTGGCCAATTTTTGCTCATCCTCTGGGATTCAACTTAGGAGTCACCTCCAGGAAGCCTTTATTGCTCTGTGTTTGCACTATGCTGAGCCTGGGTTAGATCTCTTCCTCTGTGCCCCCCATAGCATCTTCTGTTCACCCCACTTTGGCATTTGCCACCCTGTCAAAATAATATATTTGTCTCTCCCACATCCTGGTTGTATCTCAAAGGACAAGGTCCTGTTTACCTCTTTATTTTCAACTCCTAGTATAGGACCTGACCTACGATATATTCTTGTTCAACTTTTATCATACTACACTAACCTGCCACTGAGTTATAATCCAAAACATCAAGGAAGGAGCAAACCATTTGTTTGAAGCCAAGAGAATTAAATTTGGCTGTGAGGGTGCACTGGGCTCTGGAACCCACATGTGATGTGGGTTTGAATGATGGCATTTTCTCAGCGTCTTTGTTCAAAGGCCTCCACTTATCCCTCTTGTGTTTGCCTCTTCCTCTAGGCAATGGGGAGCTGAGCAATAAGGAATTTGTTTCCATCATGAAGCAGCGGCTGATGAGAGGCCTAGAGAAGCCCAAAGACATGGGCTTCACCCGCCTCATGCAGGCCATGTGGAAATGCGCACAGGAAACTGCCTGGGACTTCGCTTTGCCTAAACAGTAACCCAGAACTGCGAGAGGGACCACTGCCTCCACCCAGAGCACCCTGACCCCTTGAGCAGAGCTTGGCACAAGCTTTCCGGCTGCTGCTTCTGGAAGTAGCACTCCCTTCCTCTTGGGAATGATCTCAGGATTCAACCAGTTTCTCCTCTCCACCCTTCCTTTGGCAAAGCATTTTTGCTCAGCTCTCTTTCTGCCCAGTGATTATCCCCATAGGTTCTCAAAAACGTGAACAAGTCCCAAAAGTTCAGGCTTCTGGCACCTTCATCAGCACCATGCATTCAAATTACCCTGTGGATGAAGAATGCAAGGAACCACCCACATACCCACAAACCCTGGGAAACAGTTCTCAAGTAATTTTTGCTCTGGATTTACATTAAGAACATTCTTTGCTTTTCCTCCTGCTGGTGTTTTTAAGCCACAAGTTGGGAAGACCTCTGAAAGGCAGAAGGAAGCCTGTGATGAACAGTCATGAGGAAGAGCCGGGCAGCCTGGGCCAGAGAAAGGATTCATGTCAGTCCCCAGGATGGTTCTGAGGCCTGCTCCGGGCAGGTGATAGGCACAGCGGGATTTGGAGCAAGATTTGGAATTTCAAGCAGCTGCTTCGTGGCTCTTGGGCTCCCTAGGAGGATTCTGCCATAACTCGGTGCCTAATGAGCAGCAGTGATTGAGTCTGTGTTCCCTGCAAGTGCCATTTCCCCTCCAGGAGCGGCCCTCTGAAGCTGAGGCCTGGCTCAGAGCCTGTCTGCCCTCTGTCTTAAACCCTCGTAAAATATCACTTTAATTAGAACAGTGTACAATAAACTCTCCCCACCCCCACAAAACGCTCTTGTGTCTTTTATTTTAGGATCCTCTGGGGTACTTTTCATTTCATTTCTCCACTGGGTTTGAGATCCTGCCTGTTTCCTTCTACCACAGTCTGGTTCTTCCTGTTGAAAGGCTAAAAGTGAGGGCATTTGGAGGGCAGTGGTGGCGTTGTCCTAGCACAGTTTGGATGGCATCATCTTGGGCCAGGTACACAGTCCTTGGTAACTCAGACTCCACAATTAGGAACTAAGATGGGGTGGTGTATATGAGAAATCATCTGGTGTAGTGGACCTAAATTTTAGAGTCAAAACAACCAGTGCTTTTTTTAAAAAAAAATTTTATTTATTTATGATAGTCACACAGAGAGAGAGAGAGAGAGAGAGAGAGAGGCAGAGACACAGGCAGAGGGAGAAGCAGGCTCCATGCACCGGGAGCCCCACGTGGGATTCTATCCTGGGTCTCCAGGATCGTGCCGTGGGCCAAAGACAGGCGCTAAACTGCTGCGCCACCCAGGGATCCCCAACAACCAGTGTTTTATACAGACTCACCTCTCACTAACTCAGTATGGCCTTGAACAAGTAATTTCCCATCTGTTTCCTTAACTGCAAAATGATAGGGTTGAGCCTAATGAGTTCTCAGGTTTCTTCCAGGTCCAAAAGTATCTCCTTCAGTTCTCCTCCAGAATTCCTGCAGCCTCCAGAATGTCCCCCAGGTAATGCTCCCTGGCCTGACAGTGTCTTGAGTCCAGTAACAGAACCACCATACCAAACCCAGTGCTTCCTTCGAGCCCTAGAAGTTGGTGGGAAATGTTCATCAGCCAATTAAGAGCGGAGGCCTGCGTCTCTGCACCTTTGACAGTGCCAACCCCAGCATTTTCTCCAGAGCAACTTCACAACTTCATTTCCAGCATCCTTTCTGGGAGCAGATTAGATTATTTTTCAAAGGAGTTTGCCACTCACCTACCTCTCTGCCTTCCGCTCTCCTTTCTTGGGATATGAATTCTGGTACCCAAGTGTGGTCTTTGCCTTGCTCATTGCTCTGGGGCAAAATGTGAGCTTTTCTTTTTTTTTTTAAGATTTTTTTGAATTTATTTATTCATAGACACAGAGAGAGAGAGGCAGAGACACAGAGGGAGAAGCAGGCTCCATGCAGGGAGCCCAATATGGGACTCGATCCCGGGTCTCCAGGATCACACCCCAGGCTGTAGGCGGCGCCAAACCGCTGTGCCACCAGGGCTGCCTAATGAGAGCTTTTCTTAAATTTGTCCCAGAATCCCAAAATCACTCTTTTCCGCAACACTCATTTCTCCAGCCTGCAAGAGAAGTCCCATTCACAGCCTTCATGGGCATTCATTCCCCTGCAAGAAGAGATCTGCTGATTGGCCTGGGTTCACGGAAGCCGAAAACCAGAGCACAGCAGGATAGGGTAAAGATCTTACCTACATCTTGAAACCCTCTGTCAGGGGCACTCACCTACCACAGGTACATGGAATTCCAGCTGGGCTCCTTTAGCCGCTAGGAGTGCCTAAGGAAGCACAGGGGGTCCAGGTGCTCAAGAAGACAGGATGGCCACACTTTGGCACAATAGGGTTAAATGTGCAGGTAAGAGGTACCAGCTAAATCACCCAGAAGAGGCCAGGGTCCGCCAAAGAAGTCCTTGAGCAAGGTGGCATGTGAGCAGGCTGAGAGGATTTCACTAGGCAGCATGTGGGATAGGCTGGGAGCACTGGGGAGTACAGAAGGCTGATACATGCTTCTCTTTTTATCCAAACTGTTTCTTCTACCTAGATAGAATAATCTTCCCCTCCTCAAGACTCCACTCCAGGGCACCCTGGGTGGCTCAGTGGTTTAGCGCTGCCTTTAGCCCAAGGTGTGATCCTGGAGACCCAGAATCGAGTCCCACGTCGGGCTCCCTGCATGGAGCCTGCTTCTCCCTCTGCCTGTGTCTCTGCCTCTCTCTCTCTGTGTCTCTCATGAATAAATAAAATCTTAAAAAAAAAAAAAAGACTCCACTCAAGCTGTCTCCTCCTAAGCCCACCTGGACTATCTTCCTGACAAGACTAGTAGGCCCTCCTCTACCTCCCAAGGACCACTTGCCCACCCCTAACAACACTGCTGTAATCAATGTAATGTTTATGGGATTGTCATCCACAATGTTCAGACCCAGAGCAGTGACACCGTCAAAGAAATAGTCCACTACCAAAAGCTAATTTTAAAATAATTCTTGGACAATGTAAAAATGATATTAGCAATACCACAATAAATTTCTCCCACATACCCACAGCCTTTCTCTGTGTTTGCTGATGTTCTCTATTTCTTAAAAATAAATTCCCCAGGGCAGCCCCGGTGGCACAGCGGTTTAGCGCCGCCTGCAGCCCAGGGCGTGATCCTGGAGACCCGGGATAGAGTCCCACATCAGGCTACCTGCATGGTGCCTGCTTCTCCCTCTGCCTGTGTCTCTGCCTCTCTCTCTCTCTCTAGCTGTGTCTCTATGAATAAATAAAATCTTTAAAAAATAAAAATAAAAAAATAAATTCCCCAGTTCTAGCCCTTAGGCTTCAGGGAGAGAAAGAAACTCAGAGGGGACCCAGGCTGCTGGGTTTCCTTGTGACCCTGGGCTCAGCATCATCCACAAGGACAAGCAGAGAGAATATGGAGAGAGACTTTCTAAGAAAAATCGTTTAAGAATATGCATGCTCTTCAAAAATCATATTAATAGCTTCTAGTGCCCCACCTAATTTTAGCTCTGGTTAAAGCATATGCACTTAAACTGAACTGGAGTCTAAGAAAGGAGAAGTCCAGGGCACAGCTGCTGCCAGACAGGAGAGAAGGGACAGCAGTATGGGAGCCAGGAGCCAGGTGCCCCAGCTGGATGGAGCATCCTCTCCAAGCCTTAGCATAGCCCAAGCCGGGTTATGTGCCCCAAGAGGCTTAGAAAAGCAAGGAGGGAACCGAGGCAAGAGTTCAGCTTTCAGGCTTCAAGTGCCACCTGCTGGCAAGAAGGCTCAGTGCAGGGACTCTGGTCTGGAGCAGGAGAGGGCGAAGCCTCTTGAGTCCAGCCTACACCAGCCCTTCAGAGACTAGGCCTCTCAGGGCCCGGGGCAGCACAGTGTAGGGTGGGATGACTGGCCAGAGAAGGACCATAACCATGAAAAGAGATAGTATGGATATTATCATTGAGAAGAGGAAAGCAGCAATGCCTGTGGAGTGTTCCTGTGGCTCCAGAATGGGATTTTTTACCAGCAAATGAGAGTGCATGAGTTGCTCTATTCATTCCACAACTCGTTACTGCCCACCTGCTATGTGCCAAGCATTGAGCAAGGTCTTCAAGGAGTTTGTGGTAAGTACATGTTGCTATGAGAGCACTTAGAAAAGCAGAAAGGCCACCCAATCCCAATTTGGAGGTCAAAGCAAGCTTGCAGAGGAAATGATTTCTCTTGAAGTAAAAAGGGGAAAAAAAACAAGGTCTGCCAGTTGAGTAGGAGCTAACAGTGGGGGAGGGGCCCAGGCAGAGGCTGCCTCGCTTGCAAAGGTCCAAAGGCCAAAAAGCATGTTTCTGGGAACTGAAGCTCTAGGGAGTATCCAGGACAGATTGGAGAGTGATTTTGTGACCCCAGAATTAATTAATATGGTAATCTTCACCCCAAAAAAAAGATTAAAAATGCATTTGAAGATTTTAGAACACACATAGGTTATAGAAAAAAGTCATCATGGAAATTTTAAAATGCTTAGAACAGAATATGATAATGAAGATACAGAATATTAAGACTTGTGGGACACAGCTAAAGGGAAACTTAAAACCTCCTAACAACTTCCATACTTACTTATAGATGATGAGCTGACAATAAGCAACCGCCTGAAAAAGTTGAAAAAAAAGAGGGCACCTGGGTGACTCAGTGGTTGAGCATCTGCCTTTGGCTCAGGTCACATCCCAGGGTCCCGGGATTGAGTCCCGCATCGGGCTCCCCACAGAGAGCCTGCTTCTCCCTCTACCTATGTCTCTGCCTCTCTGTGTCTCTCATGAATAAATAAATGAAATCTTTTTTTTTCTTTTTTTTAAATTTTATTTATTCATGAAAGACAGAGAGAGAGAGAGAGAGAGAGAGAGAGAGGCAGAGACACAGGCAGAGGGAGAAGCAGGCTCCATGCAGGGAGCCCAACACGGGACTTGATCCCAGGTCTCGAGGATCATACCCTGGGCCGAAGGCAGCGGTAAACCGCTGAGCCACCAGGGCTGCCCAAATAATTGAAATCTTTAAAAAAATAAAATAAAATCTACTTATAACAAAAAATACCAAACCCAGATGACTTTATATGAGAGAGGGGGAAAACAGAACCAGATCCTGTAGGACCCTGTAAGACCCAATAAGGAGTTGGGACTTTATCTTAATTATAATTAGTAGCCACTGACGGATTTTAAACCGGAAGATGATGTAATGAGCTTTGCATTTTGGAATGATGACTGCCTGAAATGCCACAGATGGATTGGAGTGGGATCCAGGTTGGAGACTGCTATAATAATCCATTAAGCAGATGCAGGGAGCTTGGATTAGGGCAATGGCTGCAGCGTTGGAGTCACTAACAGAATTGGGAGATGTCTAGGTCAGCCCTGAGGGGTGGGGGTGGGGTCACGTAAATTGGAGGATGGTGAGGGAGAGGGAATAATCACAACTGACACCCAGATTTGTGTTTAGGTAACGGAGTGTATGGTTGTGCTCTTCGGTGGGATTGGGAAACAGAACCAGCTGTGGCTGGAGGAAGAGGCAGCATATTTGACATGCTCAGGTGCATAAGACATCCTGGTAGAAATATCTGATGGGTGGTCACATAGAAGGATCTGGATGGACCTAGGGGCACCGAGGTGGCTCAGTCAGTTGAGTGTCGAACTCTTGGTTTCCACTCAGGTCATGATCTCAGGGTCGTGAGATCAAGGTCCACATTAGGCTCCACACTCAGCCAAGAGTCTACTTTGAAGATTTCTCTCCCTCTGCCCCTCCCCCTACTCACGTGCTCACATG